AAAATAGTTAAAATTAAAAAAATGAGCCTTATTGTAAATCTGTGTTTTCAGGCATGTTGAAAATAATTTCCAAGTGCCTTGTCCCACTCACTCTCTTTGATCATTTTATATCTGCCTTTGTTTAGTCTGATGGGAAGAGTATGTATTTAGAATTCTGCAAAGTTCAGTAGCAGAAAGGAAAATAAGCACAATTAAAGGGTTTGTATCAAGGTGGCATATATCTGTGGAACTGCTGCTGGATTCCAAACCAAATACATATCTCCATCAACTAGTTTGGTGACATAAAATCCCTAGATTAAGGAATCTTTTTAAATATGTATGATATTAAAAAAGGAATCTTTTTAAGCAAAAGTAGGCAGCAGGGTTGAATTTATGTTGCCTTACAAAAGACAGGAGTCTCTATTTGGAAGTTCTTTATCCCTACTTAGTTATTCGTAGTTGGTTGCTGTTAAATTGATGAACAGTCCATTTTCCTCTGTGACTTTGAGAAACCTACTGAGGGTAGATTTAAACTTGATTTCACTAAGTTTACCACTCTTTCTACATGTTTATTCAGCCCTCATCACCCCTGTTTTAAGCCCATTTTTCTGTTTCACTTCTGTATTTTACAAATATCAGTCCCACCCACCATATCTTTATTATTAATTCATTTAACTTCTGTTACAGAGAGATCAAGCATTTATTCCTTTTTGATCATTTACTTTCCTCCCAGCTGAGAAATATTTGACTGACAGCAACAGCTACCCCTATGGAGCCTGTGTAAACATGAGTTTATGGGCTGCTGTGCAGGCACCTTTGTGATTTACTTTCTAGTTGTTGGGATTTATTTATTTTTTGATGGACTGGTAAATTATGAGGCCATGGACCTTGCCAGGTTTTCAGGTATCAACTCAGAAAACCTTGCTGGAAAAACTGTGGCTGGCACTGCAACAGAGTATGACCAGTGATGCATCATATATTTTTAATAGATATAATGTTTTAATAAACATTCCCCTCCTAAAGCAATGGATTTTAAAATAGGCTTTTGCCTTGAGCCATGTAGCTACCCAGCTGTGAGTTTTATAAGGCAACAATCTCCACATCATTAGATGTTATGACTAATATTCCAGCAACTGAAATAATAGCTATTTACATGCACATAAAAAGTTAAAATGTCATGTGAGGTGTATTTACTCTGAGAAAGGTGTACTTGTAAAAGTGATGCCACAGTTCCTCATTCACTTTCCATTACCAACTTATCTTGGTAAGCTCTCTTGCAAGCAAAAAGCAGCTTAGAAAAATTGTTCCACACTGACAACTGGGGCCTCACCAACATTAAGAACAAGGTAGGTGCCTCTCACCTCTGGTCCCACTGCCCTTTAGAATTCAGGCTTCCTCAAGATTTCTGCTGACTCTTGGCTGTCTACTGTGTGGTTTTCTTTCACCTTTGAAGGTGCCTTTGATATCTTCACCTCCAAGTTAACATTTTGCTCTCTGACTCCTCTTTCACTGGCCTTTTCTCTGCTGCTTGCCTCCTAGACCGACATTCCTTCATCTTAGAATGACAAACATATTTCTCTCCTTGTCTTAGTTAGAACACAGTCTGGTCCCCTGAGGTACCATCTCCTATTACAAATACTTACCAAGGCACTTCCATCCCACATCCCCAAACATTGCATGGCTGAAGACTTTTCTAGTTCTACCAAGTATTTTGCGCACAGGCATGCATGAATTATATGATCATGGAAGGGATATTTATCTGGACTTCTCTGATGTTGCCTTTTCTGGGCAGGTAAAGAAAGAAAGGAGGGAAGTATTTATAGAACCAGCAAGAAGTACAGGATGGGCAACTGTATTGGAGAGGTGTTTTGGTTTTCTCTCTTTAGTGACACATGAGAATGTTCAAGAGAAGGTATTTCCTTTTATTCAGTCTAACCAGCTCAGTCTAGAAATACACAATCTAATATCTATTTTTTAAAATCTGTTAATCTCTAATATTCAAATGACAACTAAGGGACTTCATTCTTTCTCTTTTGCTATTTTGGTTAATCACTTGGAAACTTTGGCCTTTTGCAAATATAAAATATAGTAATTGTTACTCTTCTCCCTATCTTCTCTTTATGTCTTGCTATGTATGGTCTGAATGTTTGTGACCCCTTCTTCCCCACCTAGTTCATATATTGAAATCCAAGTACCCAGAGTCCTCATAAATGATATTAGTGCCCTTATAAAAGATACCCTAGAGAGCTTTGGCCCATTGCCATCTGAGGAGACAAGTCTCTGACCTGGAAAAGGGCCTTTACCCAATCATGTTGGTACCCTGATCTCAGATTTTCAGCCTGCAGAACTGTAAGAAATAAATTTCTGCTGTTTACAAGTTACCTAGTTTGGTATATTGTTATAGCACTATAGTTTAGCTATAGAATAAGACACATCTCTCAAATGGTGTACCAAACTAGAAGATTATACTGAGCATATTTGCTTCTGCTGATTTTACTCTAAATAAGATATTCAGCTATAGTCTAAATATTTGATTGGATTATGATGGTATCAAGGACAATCTGTTTCCTACACTTCATTTAGTTTTAGTTATATAATATAGAAGTGTACTTGATATGAACGTACTGAATTTTATTTAAAAAGTAAGTTTTAGAAATAATAACAAACTTCAGTAGACTCTGCTATATCATATCATCACATTTAAAAAATGCAGCTATTTTGTCATCCCTGGATAATGTGAGATGAGTATTAGTGATTCGCTCAAACTTCTTCAAAACTTATTTAACGTAATCTTCTATTTTGGGTGTTCACAGGATCACACTGTCTGTTGAATAAATCTCTTGTAAATTGAATGAATCTGACTTAATCATCTTTGTCCCTGTTCTCCATTTTAATTTTAATCTAAATGTAGTCTACCTCCCACCCCATGATATGTGTAAATTGCCTCAGAGACTGAGACTGAGTCTCCTTTATCCCCCATCTCTTCCCTTTGTGGCCTGGCCTATAAGAGGTGATCAATACGCACTATAGAGTGAATTTTTCTTAGTTAATTTGATAAGGTAGCATTAACTTCTGAAACTGTTTCATGGGTTGTTTGTTGCTACAGAAGAAATATATGAGCTGACTTCCAAATCGCCATACCCTTGTTCTGAAACCATCTTATATCATCAGTCTAAGGATTTTTTTGCCTTCCTTAATCATAGTAGTATCACTACTCACATCCCTTACAAAGGATGAGGGGCCATCAAGGGAAATTTTCTTATTTCCCTCCAGTTTTATTAATATTAATGGAACAGAATAAAAACTTGCTTGAAGAGAAAAAAGGAAAGCGGGCCACTCGGTGCAGAGAAAATAGTTGCCTCCCTGTCAGCGTTTAACTCCCTTATGAGTGAATCTGATTGCTTCAAAAATGAGGAGACTTATCTCTTGTGATTTGATTTCTTCTCCCATCTTATTTGTATGAATCCCAGGATCCACAATAGAATCATCCTGGCATATGCTTTCTTCTTCTCTGTTTTGATACTGAGAAAGGAATACTGCATTGCCTAGCACAATATTTGCACAGCATGCCCATGGCTTCAGCTGAGTCTTGAAAGACTTTGTGGGTTATGACATTCCCCTAAATGTGCTGAGCTTTCTTTAACCTTTCATAAAACATTGTGATCTTTATGGACTGTATCATATTGTGCAGTAATGTGCTTTATTGTCCACAGAATAAGCTTTTCTTAAAGATAATTGGAAAGCTGGAAATGGCTGCTATCGGCTGATTTTTTAAAAATACATTATTTCTGAAATGGGGCTGGTGTAATAATGACCCTATCTGTTCAAGATTTAAGATTTGTCTTGGCAGAGAAAATTGATCCATTTCACCTTTGTCTAATGGAAATTTTTATCTAGGATTATCTGTTTATGTAAATGAATGTTCCTCTGAAAAGGGAACTTGAGGGGCTGTAAATCTTGGTGACACTTCAGTTTCATAGGGGAGAAATTGGAAAGGATTCTAGTATTTATATGCCTGAAATTGGTTATAAAAACAAAATTATCTTCATGTTCCTGCAACATCTGATGTTTCCTAGAATTTCATTATATTTTTGAATAATTCAGTATACTAGTAAGGATGGGCTTTCTATATTATTCAGAAGTTGTTTTTACTTTTTCTATTTTCTAGTTACTTTCTAATGCTGGCATTAAAGAAGTAAAGCCTTTTGCTTAGTCATTATTGTAGGGATAAGATTTTTTTCTGCATAATCTAATAGTTTTAGTTATTGTATACTTGTTATCTGCAGCTATATGAAATATATTAGCAGAATAGCCATCATTTCTCTTTTTAAAAAGCCATGAAATATTACAAAAATTCTGATCTGTTGACCAAAATGAGATCAGTAACAAAATTGCTCTATATTAAAAAAAGTGTTTTGGTTCTCTTAGGTAATTTTTGGACCAAGTTTAATCTGCGTATAATTGAAATTGTGAATTTATGTGCTTAAAAAGTAATGAGATGACATTCTTTTTCCACAAGTTGAAGGAAATTATAAAATCAATTCATTTGAATGTCAGCTAATCAGAGGAAAATAAAGGGAGATTTGAATTTCAATTGCATTATCTTTTTAGAAGAGTCATTATTTCTTTATTTGGGATGCTAATTTTGTTACCTGGGTTGTTGTTTCAGAATTGTACTGTTTATTTTTCTATTGTAGTTACTTCTTTGGAAGTTTTTCCCATTTAGATAATATTTCACCAGGATTTGGGGGGAAAATTAGCAACATGTTGCTTTCCAAAGATGACATGAATGTATTTACTTAACTGTGTAACATAAGGACTAAAAATTGGTAAGGAATTTTATTTTTTCAGTATGAGTTACATTCATAACAAAGTTACAGGCATAATAAACCCAGAGTAAGTCTGGAATATTCATGTAATAATCATATTTGGACATCTGTATTCAGGTTTATTACTGCAGTTTTTTAGTATTAAGTGGTCAAGAACAACAGAGTACCAAAAACACTTCTTTTTTTCCCCAGGAAATTGAAGGAAAATATGACTGGTGGGATGGAAGACAGGGCACTGAGCAGGGATTCTGTATTCTCGCCGACTGGAGAACTGTGATCATGGAAAGGTCACTGCAATTTTCTAACTCTACTTTCCTTTTTAAGATGAAAATGAAAAACTCATGCAAAATGAAATTGTGGTGAGGAGTCAGGATAGTGGTTACTTCGGCAATAAGTGTTGGAAGGGATGTTAGTGGCTGTGGGGCTTCTGGGATACTGCCAACGGTCCCTTTCTTGAGTTGAGCATGATTTACACAGTTGTTTTCACTTTGTGACAATTCCTTGGTCTGTATGATCTGGGCACTTCTCTGGTGATTTATCTAGTTCAATGAAAAAATTTCCTGTAGTTCCTGTTATTTCATAAGATTACTGAACTGTACTGAAGACTTCTAAAAATGGTAATGTATGTTAAAACTTTAGGAATAAGCCTCTGCAAAAAATTGTAACTATTTTGGTGTAGATCACATGTAATCATTTCCACATACCTCTAACTTGACTTTTTTTTTTTAAAGGTGAGTTTTGATAACATTATGAAGGTACAGTAAATTTATTTTGTATACATATAAATTTCCCTTTATTGGGAAGCTGAACCCCTGAACTTTCATCCCAACATCCGCACGGTAACTTTTTTTTTGAGGGTTTTTAAAAAAATTTTTTATTTATACAAGTGCTGGGGTACAGGCTAAATGCACTGGAGGGTGAGAGGATTCACCAGAGACAGAGTGGGGAACATAACAGGCAAACTGATGAAATACACTGCTGAGGGGAGCAGCAGGCAAGACAGGAGAGGTCTGCCGCGCCATGTGGGATTCTCACTGGCCGGCCGGGATCGAACCCGTGCTGCAGAGGCTGCAAACAGCTTCATAGTGCGGCACTCAACCGCCTGTGCCACCAGGAAGGCCCCACACAATAAGGATATACTCTAAAAACAATCTTTAATTGTCCCCATACTGAATCCCAAACTGCTCTATTTCTTGCTCAGAGCACTGGTTGTCCTTAAATGCTTCTCACTTTCTCCTGGCATGCCCTAAGTGTCTTTGACTTTTCATTCCTTCCTCTATGTGTATGGAATGACTTGGAACTGCATTTTGAAGAATGTGCACATACAACTGTCTCCTTGAATCCATGTAAGAGGAGGGTAGTGACTGAACATCAGGATCTGGCAGGTGGTACAAATTATTGGGCCCTTGGCCTAATCTGTCAATCCAAATCCTGCTTCCTTGTTTCTGTTTTTGGCTTTTTCCTTCTGTTAAGAGCACCATCCTACCCTTTTTTGTTGCACTAAACTCTTTTGACAGCCCTGACAATTGATTATATAGTCTCAGTATTTAAGTTGATTGTAAGCCTCACGTACTGTTGAGCTACCTTCCCCCAACTGTTGAAGGGGAGACAGTTGCTCTATATAGACCTAGAATTCAAGATTTACATTACCATGTTGTGGAAAGTATGTGGGCTGAGGGGTGAGATAACTTTGGCCCTATGCTTCTCTATTCTGCAAGCTGAGCTATAATGCTTTTTCACCAGGAGCATGGAGATAATAGTAGCTGCTCTCTACCTAATTAGGTTTGTTGTCAGGATCTAATGAATGCGTGCTAAATTTTTTTTTTTTTACTTTATATATATTTTACATCATTCTTCCTTTTTGTACAATGTATGCTTCCTCCTCTCAGGTTTAGTGCCCTTATAATTCCAGTTTACCCATGCACTGTCCCCATATTCCCTTGTGCTCTTTCCTCCCCTGCTTTGATGCCTCTCTCTCCTTCTCTCCTACAGTGTCTCTGATTTATAGTTGCCTGTTAATCCTGTCTTTTAACTTACTATAATAATTTTTTTTCCTGGTCCCGTATTTTGTTCCCCTGCATTCCTCCTATAAGTGAAACCATCTGATATCTTTCTTTTTCTTTCTGGCTATTTCACTGAGCATAATTCCCTCCAGCTCCATCCATGTTGCTGCCAGTGGCATGCGTTTATCTTTTTTTTGATTGCTGAATAATATTCCATTGTGTATATATACCACATCTTCCTGATCCAGTCATCTATTTTTGGGCGTTGGGGTTGTTTCCATAGCTTACCTATTATAAACAGTGCTGCAGTAAACACAGGAGTGCAGGTGTCCTTTTGAATTAATGTTTTTGTGACTTTTGGGTAGATACCTAGGAGTGGAATTGCTGGGTCATATGGAAGCTCCACTTTTAGTAGTTTGAGGAACCTCCACACACAGCCTTCCATAATGGTTGGACCAGCTTGCATTCCCACCAGCAGTGTAGGAGAGTTCCTTTTTCTCCACATTCTTGCTAACATTTGTTGTTTCCTTTTTTTTTTTTAAATGAGCCGTTCTTACTGGTATAAGGTGGTATCTCATTGTGGTTTTAATTTGTACTTCCCTGATTGCAAGTGATGATGAACATTTTTTTCATATACCTTTGGCCATTTGCATTTCCTCTTTGGAGAAGTGTCTTTTTTTAACCTGCTAAAATGTTTTGACAACTATAAACTGTTTTGCAAAATTAAGAAATTAATAAATAGAATAATGCTGGTGTGTGACCTTTGAAAATGTCTAGTTAAGTACAACCTTTTAATTTTAAAGATAATAAAAGAATAACACTTTAATTTTTCATATAAATATTGATATCATGTAAATATTAAAAAGTAATTACATTAAAATAGTTACAAAATTGATATGCTGTAATAACATCCTTCATTTAAATTTTAAATTTATTTAATGAAACATAATGGATAAATATTTTTCACAAACTCTATGCTTTACACATTATTTCCTTTAAATAACAAGCCTCCTCCCTTAGTACATTTTAAATTATTTCTCTATCTATTGAGTAAAGCTCGTAGTAGACATTTAGATCAATTACCAGGTAGAAATATCAACTATGATTCACAGGAATATCCCATATTCACAGGAATATGAGTCCTTTAAGAGGCATTTCAAAATATCAGAGTTGTGTTTGTAGGAAAGACCAGTCTATCCTTTCTAAGTTGGAGCTCCTTAAAGATAGGGACTCTGCACTGCTTCTCTTTAATAAGGAATGAGGTAGCTACATGCAAAAGGAGACAAGAGTTGGTATAGCAGGCTGGGATTTGATACTGGCTTTACCACTTGTTAAACAGGTGACTTTGGAGACATTACTAAGCTTCACGTTCCATAGCAACAAAATATGCATGAGAATACTACTTATTGGAGTTGCAAGCACTTACTGAGCTCTTGAGAAAAATTCAGGTGTGAATTATACATTGAGTATAATTTCTCCCTCCATCTGATCTGAGAGTTTGATATTGGGGTATGAGGGGTTACTATCTTTCCCTGTCTGAGGTCCAATTCAGCATCAATTGCACAATATATATTATATCTATCTCATCTATCTCCATCCACCCATCTATCATCTATGAAACACCATTGTGCAATATGTGTATCATTACCAGCTTTATTACTGATAAAAGCTATCTTGGAGGAATGACTCACATATGTAGCAATAATAAACTAAATTCAGAATCCCAGAACTGGGTTGCACACACTGTTAGAGACAGCATTAACCAGCCATGGGCCTCCCCTTGAGGATGCTGCCCTTATAGACTTCCAGCATTGCTTTTTTTGGCTAGTCTCACTCTCAGGAGGAAGGAGAGGGGAAGGGCTAAATCACTCATATTTTCTCTTTTCAAACTCATCAGTTACTGATAAGCAACTTCACTTCCCTGGAGAAGTAAAAGAGCAGCAGTGGGAGTTGTTACATTAATGAATGTGTCTCCACTGGCAAGAAGATGTCAGCTGAGAAGACCAGTGTTTCCTTCAACACTACCACAGTGGCAGGTGCGTAATAGATGGGAAATGTGTTTGATGGGTAAGTGTGTTTGTACTTACTCCTAATAAAACTTCATTTTGTTAGTTGAGCACTATTTCAGAGAGTACAGAACACTTTGGGATTCTGGTTTTCTCATCTATGGTAAATACACTAATTTCACATGCATGTTAAATCAGAATAATCAATGCTCGCAGACATAAGTCAGAAGGAAAAAGATAAATATCAGATGATCTCACTTGTATGTGGAATATAGAGAAACCAAACAAAATGTCAAGAAAATGTTAAAACTAGCAAGCTGAACACTCAAAACAGGTGATGAACACAAGGGAATATGGTGATGGTTCTTGGGTGATATGGTGATGTAAGAACTATGGGGACTACAATGATGTAAGAAAAAATAATAAAAAGAGAAAAAATGACTTTTATGTGAACAAATTTAAAAAATCAGAATCAGCATGTTTTCAGTGTCATTATTTGACATCCCAGCAGATCAACATTCTATAATGCAGGGCTGCAGGATTGGGTATGAATTAGTCTAGGTGCTGGGATTCCATCTGCTTTTCCAGGTACCATCCCTTCATTGTTTGTCACTGTTACTACCCAACTTGTCATGGTCCTGGAAGCTGCGTTAGCTCTGAAATATATAGGTTTATTTTTTGGCCACAAATGTATCATGAGATATTTGGTCAGATTCTTCACCAAAATCCAAATATTGATATACTATGAAATTGAAACAATTTGAGGAAAAAGAAAATGTAGAGATGAGCCCCTAGCTCTACTATTACTTACATTAATTTTAAATATTATATAACAGTATCCAATTCTCATGATAACTAAGACTAATTTCAAAAGCACTCTATAAAAATTTCACACAATTTCAACTTTTTCACTATCAACAGAGATTTGTTGGCAAATGTAATTATAACCATGTATATAACTGCATTCTCTAGTAATAGACAATGCAAGAACCTAGAGAATTTTCTTGATAGATCGCAACAGCAGGAATGCTAAAGGCTGGTCTGGGTGGGAGAGACACACTCTGCATGAACTCTTAATTTTAGTCAACCATGCTGAGAACACAAGTCACTGCCAACTGGTTAGATTGAAAAGAAATAAATATGTGCTTTGTAGACTAGAAAAGTCATGCATTGCAGGAATAAAACTCAATATATTTGTCACCCCAAACAAAAAGGGCCTAGCTGAAACTTGAGATTTGCCAGGTTGGAGGGAGCACAGGGAGTTTGTCAGTGTTACCTCAGGGCAACTTTCTTAAGTGATATGAGATAGCACTGCTGGATTTTGGAATGAAGTTTATCCAAGTTTGCCTTGACTGAGTTTTCTTTGGAAGTTCCTTCTACATATAGTGGGGTGCTTAGAGGCAACAAATAAAAGGAGAGAGACCATGAAGTAGCTATTGATTTTTCTTTTTCACTTCCCAAATCATAGGGAAGACCCTGGCCATCTGAGGTCTGGATTATTCAAATTATAGTTTTTCCTCTATCTGAGGCACTCTCCTAACTGCTGTCCTGAGTCTCCCTAGATCAGGGTAGAGTCCCTGTTCCTACTCATCAAAGACACCATTTGGATTTCAAATCATTTATAGTGTGACCTTCCCCTCTAAATAAAATGAATGGTGAAGTGTTAAATTTATATCAAAATAATGATTTAAAGAATATTCATTCACTTTAAGAAATAAAATATAACAGTATCTGGGTACCTCTTCCCGTTGTATCCTCCTTTTAATCCCAAAGGTAGCCATTGTCCTAAATTTGAGTATATTATTTTAATGCAGTATGTGATACTTTTACTGCAATATATGTATCCATATGGTATTATTTGTATGATTAAAGCTTTATATAAATAGTGCCATTATTGCAGTTTTCTGCAAAACCCAATTTCATTTGTCATTTTTGTGAGATTTTTCTGTGTAAAAATAGCTTTAGTTCACTCATTTTCACTGATGAAATGTATTCTTTTTTTTTACAATGTATCAAAAACCTGTGACTCCATTCTCCTATTGATGAACATTTGTTTTCAGCTTTCACTGTTAAAAAAGAGTAGTGCCATGAGCATTGTTGTATATAGTTTCTTCTACACAAATGTCAAAGATTTGTGTTGTGCTTTTTTTAAGGGTGATTATCTAGAAATAAATTTTTTGGTTTATTATCTGTGTTAACACAAATCTCACTTAAAATAGTCAAATTACCCTTTAAAGTAGCTGTATCAATCCATACTTCCATCTCCAGTGTGTAAGAATTCCTGTATTTTTTGTATCAGTGCCAATGTCGGTATTTCTTGATGCTGACCTTTTTTATCCATCTGATGGGTGCAAAGTGGAATCTCACTGTGGATTTAAAGGCAGATCATATGTTTATTGGACAATCTGTTCCCTCTTCTGTGAATTATCTGCATATATGTCAGGTTTCATTGTCATTTATTGGTATTTTTATTCATTCTATCACTGATAGACATTTGAATTATTTCCTGTATATGCCTATTATAAATAATGCTACCTTGAATATTCTTTGGCCTGTCTCTTTATGTACCTATTTAAAAATTTCCATTGAGTAAACCCTATGTATGGAATTTCTGGATTAACAAGTGGTCTGCCAGTGTGGTTGTGCTAATTTCCATTCTCACCAAACATATATGAGTGTTTTGATAGTATCTTTTCTATGTTAAAACTTGGGCTTGTTTTTTTTAGCCTTTAAAATTTTAGTCAATCTGGTGTCCATATGTGGTTCTAATTTACATTTTGATGATCATTAGAGAAGTTGAGCATCTTTTCAGGAGTCTGCTGACCATTTGGAACTCTTTTTATAAAATGCATGTACATGTTTCCTCTTCATATTTTTTCTCTTGAACTCTGACTTTTTTATGGATAAGAGTTCTGTGTGACATTTTTATTTATGTAAGTTCTTATATGGAATATGTACCTTCTGTTAGTTATTGAAGGTGTTGAAAAGACCTTCTCACATCTGTGGTTTGCCTTTTGCACTCTTCATGATAACCTTTTGTTGAACAGAAATTCCTATTTCAGCATTGTTACATTAATTAAAAAAATACTTTTGCAGCCTATTCAATGAGTCTTTCCTTACCTGCTGCCATGAAGAGATGCTCATAGAATCTACTGTGTACTTTATATTTGATCATTCATATTTACATCTGTATTCTACTTGTTAATTTTTAGGGTATGGTGTAAGGTCGAGGTCAGTTTTTTTTTTTCCATGAAGGCATGTAATCGTCTCAGTAACATTTACCAACGTTTACCCCAGTGCCTTACACATTTGTCATAAGTCATGTGTATGGCCATACATGGGTCCTTCCAGGGCTCTTCTGTTCTATTGATCTATTTGGCAACACTTGTGTAAATACAATATTTCATGATTACTTTAGCTTTGCAAAATGGTGGTATCTTATAGAGTAGCTTTCTGTATGAGAATGTTACCTTCTAAAAACTCTTTTTTCTCTAGATTTTGATAATGTGCTATTTAAGATATTTCCTCAAATATACATATGGATTGGTAAAAGGATGTAATCTTTAGCTTGGTACTGGCATATAAAATAGAACATTGATTTTGAATACTGCTTTTGAATCAAGATAACTTGCTAAACTCACTGACTTATTTTGATAATTTATCTGTAGACTCTTTGGGTATTCTGCATGTACAAGCACATTTTCTGCAAGTAAAAGTTTTTGTTACTTTCCATCCTTATGTAATTTTCTCTTGTCTTGTTGTGCTAGTGAGGACTTCCAGTACAATGTTAAATTGAAGGGATGATAACAGGCATTTTATAATTTTCCAAATTATAAAAGGAAATCTTGCAATGTTTTGAGTATTCTCAAATTTATATATTTATATATGATTTACATATTTATGTATATATTTTTTTCTTGAGATGTAATTGCTGCATAAAAAATTAGTTTCAACTATACAACATAGTGATGATGTAGATCAAAATGATCAACACAATAAGTTTAGTAACATTCCTCACCATACAGTTATAGTTACTCTTATTATGAGAACATTTAATATATTTACTCCCTTAGCAACATGCGGATACACAATAGAGTATTGTTAACTGTAGTCATTGTGTTGTACATTATATCCCCAAGGACATATTTATTTTATAACTGAAAGTTTACATCTATGGATTAAGCTGTGGATTGTGCTTTCTTTTGCAATCCTGCTGTGATAGTATTGCCTTAGAATTGCAGACCAAAGTTGTTGGCTTTAGGTGCTGTGCTTTCTGTTGTTTTATTGGTTAAAACCTTATCACCAATCAGGAGCTCAAGAACCAGTGGTGGTCCAAAAATCTAGCCTACAGGGTGAATGCAAATGTGTGTATGGGTGGGGGGGGGTGGTAGGTGGTGGCGGCAGTAGATTGCAGAGGGCAAAAGCCTGTATCCATGTTGCAACTGCTTGAGCTGAGGAAAGGATCTGCAATCACCAACAGTCAAAGCTGGTCAAGACACGCTACTGGTGATTTCCTGGAAGCCCCAAAATACAAGTGAACCTTCAGCTGCAGCCTAGCTCTGTTCTAAGGTTTTGTTGGCAGTGCCTGTCCCCTGAGGCTTAGGTAAAAGCTAAGTAGTCTGGAGTGTGTTAGCCTGCACTCAGGTACCAGGTTTGCAACTATGCATATTGCATGGTTGTTAGATTGCTCAAATGCCTGCCAATTCCAGATGTGGCTGGTGCTTCTTGGGGTGAGTCTCTCTCAGGACCACTATGCTAGCCATTGGTGCTAGGAACAAAGAGCTTTTCTTCATTTGGGGATTTTGGTTTCCTATTACAGGGGACCTATTACACCAGGCATGAAAATTTGCAGGGATTCAAGTCTTCTATTGACTCCATCTTTCAGGTAATTGGGGGAAGCATGGGTCTTCCTCACCTCTGTATATTAATTCTATGGAAGTGTACTCCCCAAATTTGGACCCTGCGCCTCTTTTCCACTCCATCATGTCCAGTGCCAAAAGCTGTGCATTACTCCACTGCTGA